AAGAGCAGCAGCTCGTGTCTGGGCTGGGTCCAGCAGCTTCCAGGCTTGACGTGGGGACCTGGGCATGAGGAGGAGGACAGGAAGGATGGAGAGCAAAGCAGGTTCTGCTCTGATGGTTTGTCTGAGCCTCTCCTGTGCTGCTGGAGGTGCAGGTGACTCTGAGCAGCTTCAGGTGCCATTCCCAGGGCACCTCTGCAACTGAGAGATTCCTCTTGCATCACCCTCTTGCCCTCCTCAGGAGGATTTCATGCTGGGGTTGTTGGGTTGCCAGCATGCCCATGCTGCTCTTCCCACTGCCCCTGGCTAAAGCTTCATCCTGAAGCCTTTGAGCTCTCCATGGGCACGTGATGGGGAGAGGCTGGTTTGACCTGCTTTGGCAAGGGATGTCACCTCTCTCCTAGCTGAGCCAGGACCTTGGCCTTTAGCAAAGTGCCTGCTTACCTCTTGCTGCCTCATTCCTGTTACATCCCACCTGAGAGAGGCTTTCTGATAAAAACTGAAGATTTTTGTGAGTTTACTCCTACCCCACAGCTTAGGGGGCTGTTTCTGTCCTAATGCTTGGACTAAAAACCTCAAGACAGTGTTATCTCACATCTCCAGAGGAGAATGAAGGCTCAGGAGGGTTCAAAGGGCTTGGGCTCGTGATGCTGAGCAGGATTTGGCCAAGAAAAATGAAGCCACATGCACCTGGGTGCTGCTCATCCCTGCTGAGGAGGAGTGGGAAGCAGGAAGGATCAGCTGAAAGGTCATGGGGATGCGTTGAGCTGGTGACAGCACCCTGGGAGCCACTCTAACCTTTGGGTGAAACCTTTGGGGGCTTTTCCTCTGCAGGGCTGAAAGGAGAGGCCAAGGGCTCGTGGGGTTGGGTTGCAGCTCCATCAAGCTGGAGAGAAACTGCAGCACCAGGTAGTAAATAAAGATGCTTTTTGCTTTGCTGCCTGGTTTCTCATTACACGGCTGCAGGAGGGAGAGGGGAGACACCAAGGTGACAGGGGGGTTGATGCCCAGGCAAAGGGGGACTTCACCCTTCCACGTTAGCCCAGCTCTGGATGGCAGCATCGGGGCCATCCTTGCCCTCGTGGCTTCAAGGGGGGCTTCAAGCTGGAGTTCTGGGGTGCATGGGCACCCTAAAAGAGCTGGTGGTGGAGGCAGGGAGGGCAGCCAGGGGCTGGTTGTGCAGGGGTGGGTGTTTTTTGAGGAGCACAGGGTTTTTTTCCACAGAAGGTATCAGGTCTCCCCAGCATCAGATATCGCCCCGCTGACAAAACCTCACTCTCCTTTTGCTTCAGAGCATCTCCCCCCTTTCTGTAGAGGGAGTGTGGAGGAGAAACTGTGTTTGCCACCAAGCAAGTCCCTTCTGGGGGGCCAGCTCTGGCCTGGGGGAGGCCAGCAGGCAGCCTGCTCATTAGCCCCCGTGCTCACAGCCAGCAGGAGCTTCAGTGGGGTAGGGGAATTATTTGGATGTCCTGAAATCTCACATTAGTAGCTTCGATGGTGGCACTGGCTGGCAAACTTCTGCCACCCCAGCAAGGAGCTGCCAGTGCTACCTGCACCCCAGGGGCACCAGCCCATCAAGAGCTGTGTGGAAAAAGCAGGAGAAATAGAAAAAAAGAAAGAATAAAATGAAAGGGAATGGGCTCACTGGTGCCTTGTCAGTTGGAGATCTGGCTTCTGATGCTGCCCTGCCAGGGGCATGACTCGAGCAGTGAAGGTGATGCTGTGGTGATGCCAGGGAGGCCCAGGAAATACCTGCTGGCCACTTGATAAAAAAGAAATCAAGGTGACAAGGTGTTGGTGGCCAAACACAGCAGCTTGGCAGCGTGGTGCAATCTCAGCCCCACGCCCCCACTCCTGGTGTCATACAGCCCAAAGCCCCCCCCTCGGTGTGCCAAGGGGACTGGTGCTACTGGAAAAGCTGGTCCTGATCCTGATTGGAGCCCAGTTTATTCTCAGGGCTGTTGTTTCTCATGTCCAGAGCCCTGGAGGGGGTCTGGCTGTCCTCAGTGGTCCCTGCCAGCACGGGATGGGCATCGAGTGGGACACCCCTCACAGCCTCTGGTTGGGTTTTTCTTGCTGCTGATCCCTGTCCTCCCACCACTCGGCAGAGCTCACTTTGGAAGCACGGCACATTTCCAGCAGCTACGTGCTAGTAAAAAATTGGTAGCAAGGGGTGGCTTTGTTGCTGGCAGGAGGGTGGTGGGGGGGCCCGGGGGAGCTGGGCTAATTTCCTGGCTGTGTTGCAGACTTCCCCCGTGACCTTGGGCGAGTCATTTAATCTATCCTGGGCTTCGGCTCCATCTCGGAGCATCCCGGGGGGGTGAGGGAATATTCATTAACTGATATTATTCTCGAGTTGCTTCAGATGCTCTGGTGAGGAAGGCTGGCTGCCACAGCCAGCCTCTAGGCAGGGAAGAAGGGACCTTCTGCTGGAGGTGGAGCGTTGCCCCCACGCTGGCTTCTTCAGTTTGAGCTGAGCTGTCTGGCCACCATCAGTATGGGGCTGTGTCCCTGCAGTGATGCTCGGGGATGTCACCCACCCAGGGGCTTTGCCTGGTGCCTCAGCACCCTCGCTTTGCACCCGCAGAAGCTGGCACGGAGTTCAAGCTGTTTGCCAGAGCTGAGTCGAGGGAAATCTTTGGGTTGGGCAGCAAATATCCAAGGAGTTTCTGGTTTAAGCACCTGCACTGGGTGACGCCCCCTTGGCCCTCCTTGGTGGTGCCCCTTTGGCCCTCCTTGGT